GCCTGGAGATGGAAAAAAAATTCCCAATCATTTTTACAGGATGCATTTCTGGTTTTAAACAAAACTTCATCTTGAACACATTTTCCAATCATATGTTCTTCAAATAGCACACACACAAATCCATTTAAATACTCATGCTCACCCAAAGAAGTTTTCTTGTGTCTCAAAAAAAATCCATTATACAACTGTTTTAAGTTTCACACTCTTTTCTTTTTTTCACCATAGCTGCTGTTTTAGGTGTTTCGTAAACTGATGTATTGTGGGATAATTTCAGATATTTAGCAGATATTAAATGGATGTTGCTTCAAATTTGACAGGAATACTAGCAATTTGATTGGTTTAAATCATATCAAGCAGCTATGCTAAAAAAATGTTATCATGTAACACCTCCCATAATACTAGTGGCATTGTGCTGAAACACAACTCAGAACTTTAACTTTACAGAAAACAAAAAAGACTGAATTCAGTTTCAAAAGGGGAAACATTCTTAGTGTATTTGAATGAAACTGTAAAAAGATAGCTTGGAATTTATCTCTTAACTACATGCTGTTGCTGCTTTCACTAGAATAAATATATTAAGCTTAATGTTTGCACAGTATGACAATAAGGCTAATTAAATACCTCTTGTTGCAGTTGAACTTAAAAAGTAAAAATGCTCATTTTAAAAGAAGGGAATCTGAGCAGAAAATGAGCTCACAGGTAGAGACAAAGAGAGCAAAAGGTCAGCATATGCCAATTGCCACTGTGAAGTTTCCACAGCTACTGGGAATTCTACTTTTTTCTAATCCAAAGGAAATCTGCAGAAGTCTCAATTGCCATTGTGTGGTAACTGCTGGCAAATGTTACAGATTATATATATCTCAGCCACTGGTGCACTTACTGCTTGCATTTCAACATTATTTTTTCATTCACATTTTTCTTCTTTAATTTATTCCTACAAAGTCTAAGCTAATGTGTAGATTAATGGATAAACACATTTGAACATGCCATACCTACCTCATATACAGAAGTTTAGGAATAGGCACTAAATATGTATTATCATGTCATAAATAATTTTTTAGGCATTAAAGCAGGTCACTGAAAAGAAGAATGTTTTCCAGGTAAAATAAGTTGGAATAGAACCTGAAAGATGTTTTAATGAACAGTAAGGGAGCTCAATGTATTTTAACAGTTATTTAATGAATTCCTATTCAAAATGAATCAATTTCTTGCATGCATCTACTCTTCAGCTTCACAGATTTCCACCTAATAAAGCAAGGCCAAGTACAGTCACCTACATTGGTAAAAGAAAATGCAGGACTCCATAAAATTAATGTTTCTTAAAATCAAAGGGGTTTTTTGTTATTGTTCAGAACAAGAACGAGTCTTCTGAAAATGGACAGGAATGAAAAATACAGTATTATTTTTCCTTACACAGGGATATTATATTGAAACAAATTGATGAGACCTAATCTGCAGCTTCAGCAGCAAATTCAGTTAAAGATGGAAAAAAAGAGCCCAACTCACATAAAAACAACAGGTCAAAACAAATCTATCAGGATTGGTATGCAATTATTTTCCACTTCATGTTAGTTACCTTTGCACTGAAGGAACAAATATGTTCGGGGATTGACCTTAAAAGTGCTTATCTTTAACTTTGGATCTGATTATCCTGATCATCACATGTTTTGGTGTGCTGCTATCCGATTACTACTCACCCTTCAACAGTTTTATCTTTCAGAATCAAAGATGACTGCTCACCCAGAACAAGCAGGAACTAATGACTAGAGTATCGCTTGTAGCTATAGTTTATGACTCCAAATATTTCTTACATAGATAAATAGATACTAGTTCAGATGTGGCAAAACAGATGCTGAGGTCACAGGGATATCTTACTTGGCTCTGATTTTAACTATAAACATATCAAATACTGCAGTCCTAGCTGTTTCTCAAGTCTCTTAACTACATGATTTCATCATCACAGAACGATAACACAGAAGAATAAAATAAATTTATGAAGTTCATCTTATGAAGTTCACTTGTGTATCTGATTTCACATTATCTCTACTAGCGCTACAACAACACAACTCGGAAGTAACCCTGAACTTTTACCACCGAAACCTTGTAAAGCTTGCTGATATAAAGCTCACTAACTATCACAGCAACGCACTGGGTATGCAGCACAGCGTATAATAATATTCTTTCAATACACAGCTGTGCAGAGAGAAATAATACTGACAAATAAACATAATGACATGATAAATATACTGACAGCACCCATTGCAATATATGTTTAATGAGAAGATTGTCTCGCAAAATGCTAGGAACCATCAACACATGCAATGCTTACACAATGATTAGTGTGTGATGGCACTAGGGTGACTGCTGTAACGGCCTGCCTTTGATTACAGGATGCCTTGATATACATTAAGATAGTTCCTCCTAATGTCTGATTACTTCTGCTATATTTGCTGTAGTAAATCTGGTTCGTTCACATAATAGCTATGTATTTGACATTTTTTTCTTCCCTTTTCCTGCTAGGTCTACTAGACTGCCTGTTATTAGTCTGCGAACTGCAGTGGACATAGACTATTACTTCATAATAATTTTAGAGAAAGAGGCATCCTACATGTAGAACCAGAAAATAAATTATAGAAAACCCCTGGGTAGACAAATAAAGATTACAAATGGATTGCTTTCATTTTACATTTAAAAGCATAAATTCATACAGGTTTGGTGAAAAGTTTCAGATTTCTTTTGCATAATTTTTTGTGAATTACTTCATTATAATCTTGCTCAAAATGTTCTCCCAATATCTCACTTGCAATCTCTGTTTAAAAGCTTAAATTGTATTGATACGATTGCAAATTTTACTGCTTGATGAAAAGGTATGATGTTTGGCTGAAGTACAGTTTCCTAAATACATCAAAAGACCATGGCCCCTGAGCAACAGAAAGCCAAATATATTTTTCCAAATTCACACCATTTGTGAAATGGTAAAGAAAGAAAGGAGTAAGCTGTTTCACTGAAACACTGATAAAGAACGCCATTTCTGCATGCCCACATTATGAGGGTTATAATACCACCCTGAATATTTCTACATTTCATCGTAATTCTAAACATGAAAGCAAGTTAAATATTTGGCTGCTCCTTCTGATGTGCAAACTTCTTGGTGCTATCCAGCAGTACCTGCTTAAGTTCAGTAAAATTAATCTCAACTTTTAATGCTTAAAAAGCAATCACTCTTTGGGAAGCTAATACAGATAATACCTTTCATTTCTGGTGACACAGCATGACTTGGCATGAACTTTAGTTTCAGTTTAGTAATTTCAAAAACTTTATCATATGAAGTACTTTATCCATTATTAATCATCAGTGATTGATAATTCCTTCAAAGCTAAGGAATCCTCAAGGAGGAATTATAATCATGAGAAGGTCAGCAAGTACCCTTGCTAAACAGGCAGGGCAAGAAGTATAGACTGCTACCAAAACAATGCTTTCCTCAGTCTAACAGGATCCCTTACCATAATTCTCCGACTAGAAAGACCCTAGGTACTTGGATTTCAGTGGTCTTTCACCATTCCCGTCCTCTTTCTTCACACTGTTGTCTGTCTTCACTCATCTGTGAGTTTTCATGATGCCTGTTTTCGTATCTTTAATTCCATGTGATATTCCCTTGAAAAATTACTTTCTTGACTCACAATAATTCTTTTTTTTTCCTCATTCTCTCTCTCCCTGCAAAGCTGACGAGAAATCCTTGAGGAGGAACTAAAATTAATGGTCTGATCCAATATATCTGGAGAGCATAAAAAGAGTATTACAGAATTTAAAAAAATATTCAGAGACCAGGGAGCCTGAGTTAAAGTTCTGGTGTGACAAAAGGGAAGGATAAAGAGCCTTCCTAGTGTCAGGACACGATCTCTATCAGGTCCTTTAAATTCATGAGAGAAATCTAGGAAGATATCCACTCTTCCTGAAGGTGATTGACTGAAGAAACAAAAGTGAAAGAAATACGTACTATGTACAAGCAAACATGCACTGTACAAGCAAACATCTACATCATGGTTAAAAAATTATTCAACAAGGTACACACTGAAATAGACTCCAAGCACCAATTTATATTTCACCAAACGAAAACATATATGTTTTTTTCAAGTGAGTAATAATCAACACTTATGCCTAGAAATTATATCTTTATCATTTTGTTACTTTATGCTGAGGACTCAAAACAGCACTGGTGAGGTTGCTTTCTGCTGATACAAAATAAACACAATACAGACCATATGTAAGGCGAATCAAGAATCTGAATGACATAGATTACAGATGGTGCACTGGAGAATATGCATAAACTGATTCTTAATAGATAGATTATTACCCCATGTGACTATCTATGTATGAGACTGACTTGCAGTGACCCTAAGAAAAACAGCAAGAAAAACATGACTTTAGGGGTTGAATTCTCACTGCTAGTATCTGAGAACAGAAAAATTATTATGTGCTTTATTCCTACTATATTCATGGAAACAGGGCTGTGGGTCTGCTTTTTTTTAGTAATAAAACAAACAACTGCCTTAAAAATGCCCAGCTCTTCTCAGTTTCTCATGGTATCATTACATAGGATCCTGAAAATTCCTCATATCAAAGAGGTGTAACATGATGCAGGAATATTTCAGGATAAATTGCAACATTTATTCTGCAGCACCTTTCCTGCATGTATCCTTCATGCAAGTACTTAGTTTTTGCTTTATGAAGGTCCACCATGTCATTGTTTGCAGTCTACAGTAGAAGTTTATAAATTTAGAAAATAACATTTTGTCTAATCCTATCTGTAGGTATGCATCAAATTAAAGAATACTTTTCCCTTCTACCTAGGTGGAAAGACAGAAACATTCATTCTCACAGACTAATTTAGAAAGTACACTATTAAATAGGGGGGAAAAAAGGCAGAATCACAACTTCTCCATATTTTCATAAGTAACGGAGAGACTTCAATTGGTAAGAAAGAAAGAAATCAGACTTACTGTGCATTTGTTTGGTTTCTCTCCTGAATGGACTCTCATGTGAATCAGCAGTTTATAACGGGCATTAAATGGCTTGTACCTTCGAGGGCACCCTGCCCAGAAGCAAGTGAAGTCCTCTCCCTTCCTCTGGTCTATGTGAATCTTCTCTATGTGCCGCACGAGTTCCTCTTGCTGGTCATACAGCTTACCACAGTCAACCCAGAGACAGCCATGTTTGCTGCTGAGATCATCTAGCTCACCCTCTTCATCCAGCAGGGAGCCTGGGGCAGGAGGAGGCACATGCAGTGGGTGAGCATGGCTGGGCAGGCTGTGTGAATGCTGGTGCTGATGCGCGTGGTATGGCGGGGGCGGCCCTTGTGGAGGAGGTGGCGGCGGCTGCAGGGGTGGAGGAGACATGTCCACCATAGGGCCTGAGAAGTCATCCAGTTGTTCGTTTCTCAGGATTCCCACTGCCTGGCTGTCTGTGGGCAGCATGCCCTGCTGGATCACCATGTTACCTGTGGCAGTCATCTGCAAGCTGGCTTGCTCCAGCTGCTGCATCTGCTGGTACTCACCGGCCCCATTCTCAGCATACCCTGGGAAGGTGACATTGTCATTCGCCATGAGGAGGCCTTTCTGTGCAGTTGGAATAGAGCAATTTTGGGGTATGCAGCTTCCTCGCACTCCCAAAAAATGTCCATAGACCTCAGGCTGTGGGGAAATGTTTGCTGGTGACGTTCTGGAGCTGTTGATGTAGGCCACCAGAGAGGTTGGGGATGTACGGATGATTGTATTGAAATTGACCCCAATGCTGTCAGACAGAGGAGACACAGACAGTGCTCTCTTTTTGGAGCGGACTGGCTGAGATGGGGCTGAGGAATGATGAGGACTAGAGTAAAGGGAATGCTTATTTTCCATGCCATATAAGTAGGACAATAATGAGTTAGAGATGCAGTTACTGGACATATATGTTTCAGGTGAAAAATTTACTAGATCCCCCAGCTCAGTGCCATTTTGTAAACCATGGTCAAGAGGGACAGAAGGAGGTGTCCTGTACCCATGTGACCACTCTTGTTTAACGCCCAAAGTGGACTGACGTTCTGAGAAGCTTAATGTTGTAGATGTCAGAGACTCATGTGACAAGTGAGACCTGAAATAAAGGTATGATAAAGAAAGTAAGCAGTTAGACAATTCAGCAGTGGTTCTTTCACTTCACACACACATTAAAATTAAGAATACATGTGAGAAAAGTTGTCCCTAATTTCAGGTACTCAACTTTAGCACACTCAGTTAAGGTACCACTAGAGGCAAAAAGGTCATATGCATACATATGCAAAAAAGTCACTCAGAAACCCATTTTAAAACTTCAAGATTTTGAAGAAAAATTGCTGTAAAGATTCTTGATACACCACTGCAGAAATCAATGTAACTCTTTTCACCAATTGTGGTGTAAATAGGTTTGGACTTCTGAAGCTAAAGCATTATGTTCTTGTCTTATATGAAACTCATACTGATTTGAGTCGTCTATTATTTTTGCTTGAAAATAATGGGAAGAAAACTGATTAATAGAGAATAAATATTTAACCTGAGTGACTTTGCCAACTGTAATGCAAATACTTCCCTAGAGAAGTTTTATATATCAAGTTTATAAATATAGATAATATCTAACTTTACAAAACAAACAAAATAAATTAGTAAGGTAGAAGAACTGGTTGAAGGGGTTTATTTAGTTTTGATTTGACGATGTATCTGCTTCCAGGTCAGCAATCAAAAATTTTCACAAAAGTGTAATGTTGCTGTTATCAGTGGTTTTTCATAGGGATATTATGGAACTTCTTTATGCTGCAAATATTCTACAGGTAGTTTAAAAAACCCAACTCATAAGCTCTTAAAAACATTGTTTTCTACAGAAAGGTATAAAAAGGAAATACAAGGACATCAGAGTCCCTGATTTATGGCTGCAAACGCTGGGTAGAGATCAAGTGGATGTATGTCTTTATTTTCCCAGTTTATACTCTGGCAGACCTGGATTTCCTACCAGCCAGTAGTGGCTGGCAGGAAATTTTTAAGGGGCTCTAACAATAGGAAGAATCAGGTATGTATCTAGATAAACGTAGCAATCTCACAGACACAGATGCCTCTACATCTTATCTTTTGAGGCTTAATTCTTCATGCTATTATTTTACAATACAGTTTTGAAGAAGCACAGAATTTTAGTGATGGATCAAGGTTACAGGAAGGAAAGCTTGGCACACGGTGAAGGACAGAGGAAGCAATTTGCAGGTGCTATGTCTGTACACTGAGATAGCTCACAGAGAAAATGAAGCTTTAAAGAACACCAAGCCTTGCTGTTGTGACCAGTGGGGGTAATGGGTAAATGCTCCTTTGTGCAAGATACCTGCTTTGTAATGGATGGTTAATTTGCTGTATAAGAATAAGAAACATCCTGCTCAGACTGAATAACAGTGCAGCATATTGTTATGGAGCTTATGTTACTCCATCACAGTTTAAATGGCACTTTCAAAACAGACTACTGATAAAAAGCACAATTAACATGCTGAGTACAATTTGCATTGAGAGAAATGAGAAAAATGAGATTGCTCTATCAGGTCAATCTTGCGTACCATTTAGATCTAAAAGGATAATTATTTGTGAAAAAGTTGATTTAGGCTGTTGGGTCTGTCACCAATGGGCACAGCTCATGATAGGGCAGTTAAAGCATGTTAGTATACTGTGACCCCAAATACAGATCCACAGTTTTCAACAGAGCAAGAAAGTGAGGTTTGATTTCCTCATGCTAGGCTATATATGTTTATACCTAGAGAACATAAGGGGAAAGTGGGGGTGTTTTGTCACTTTGTTTATTTAAAGGTTTATTTTCTATGAGTAGAGGAAAAGAAGTCATGCATCAATAATCTAGTACAAGTCTACTTTTGTACTGACAAGAATTTTAATCAGATGCATAGTAGGACCAGTGTCATTCAAAAAGCTACTAATGCCTAACACAAACGGACTTAGCCGTCAGTGAATTTGAAGAAAAAATATGTTAAAAAGTCTCAGAACAGGACAAAAATAAAAAGTTGGTCCAGAATTTCAAGTATACAGTAAGATAATCTGAAGAAGCTTAGTTCCCACTTCAGCATCTAAATTCAAAAGTAATAAAGATTCCAGCTCCAAAAAAACCCCCAAAGATTTATTTAAAACTCAGCTCACACTGTGACTAAGTAGTTTTCTGCCAGGAAATAAATGTACCTAATATGAAAATGAAGGGCCAGCTCTACCAGAGTGCCAGTTTCTCAGACAGTATTAACTGGCCTATCTGCTAATTGTCATTTAAACAGGCTTGAGTTTGGACCAGATCTTTCATTAACATTTATAAGACATTACTTGCAATTACTTTCTATTCTCCCTGTGTGTACAGAGGCCACAGTGTCAAAATATAACCCAGAATCTTAAACATAAACATCAAAGAGCGAAAACTATGTTTTCCTCTCTTTTCATGGCCTTCTATTTTACTAGCCAAGAACCATTTGGTCTTTCCTAGGTCCTTTTCCGACTTGCATCAAAGCAAATGGCAGCATTACATCTGGTTTCAAGCAGCACAACTGAACACTGAAAAAGTTTTGCAGAAATTCAAAGACACAGGGAAGGCTTTATCCCTCCTGGTCTATACACCAGAACCTGATGCTATCTGTAGCAGAACTCCAATTTTGCCAACTTTTTTCTTTCTTCCATCCACAAAAATCAATACTATTCACTTTGGTTTTGGTCAATTCAGTAAATAATCTGGTTTGGATTAAGTTTCTGGAACACAGTCCATGGTATGTGAAACATAAAGTCCAGAAAAGGCACTCTGCCCTGGAAGGATCATGGAGTCAACTTAGTTTAGCCAAAAGCAGTGTACAGTTGAAGGAATTTAACAAAAAAACAAAACAAAAACTCAAAAACCCCCCAAACCAAACCAAAACACAAACCCAAAAACAAACAAAAACCAAGAACACCAAATCAACCAACCAACCAAACAAACAAACAAATAAAAAAATGCAACAAAACAAAAACAAACAAAAAAGCAATGAAAACAACACACTACAAACAAACAAAAAGCCCCAAATTGTTTCAACAATCTGTAAATTAAAATCTGACTTTAAATTTGTTTTGCCCTATAAAACAGTCAATTTGAGGTCAAAACTGCTGAAATTTACTTTTTTTGTGTGACAAACCTTCTTTATAACACCTTCACTGATAAATCATTAAAAGATACTCTAGGGACACTAGAGTCTTGATTCTGCCAGAGTTTCAACTTTACTTTGCCCTTAGTAAATGTTTCTTTGCAATAAAACCAAAAATGTGTAACTCAGTACTCACATAGTACATCAACCACACATTCAGTGTTTGGAACCATGCAGGTACACTGAAACTTATTAAGCAAGTAATAATTACTTAATTATATTTTTCTAGCATTGGTTTTGTTCCATCTCAAAGGCATGTCTTTGGATTTGTCATTTGGCATCATCTTAGGACTGGATGGCTTTTACTGACATGTTTACCTAAGAAGCATAATTAATTCTGTAAATTTTCCCAGGGGATTCAATCTTCACAACTGAAGTGACAGAAATGTTAACAATTATCTTAGAGTAAAGCAAGGTTTACTTTCAATTACATAATACCAATTTTAATTATTTCAAGAATGTTCCTTAGTTTGTAATAAAGCCATACAGTAAAATGTAAACTGTTTTGAGAATAAAGACTCGTGTGGCCTTTTGTAAATACAAAGCTACGTTTCAACTCGGTAGGTAATGGCAAATGCAGCTTCCGAAATAACATATTCAGAATGTTTTCTCACTCTGTGTTTAACTAACATCCACAGGACACGCCTAATGTATTTGTATGAAGGTTGTCAAATAACTGTTTTCCTTTCATTCTTGTTTGCTGACAATACTCATAGTCGTTATTTCAAAATTTAAGCATTTAAAATTAATGAATAAATATTTATCTGGGGGGTTGTGACATAAAAAGGCAACATTTACAGGGAGAGGTCATAGTTTTCACTAAACTACTCACCAGAACTAGGAAAATTAATGAGTTTTCAGGGCTAATTGACGTGATTAACTTAATTATATAAACAAATCATTTGAAAGGAAAGGTATTTGATGAGGAGAGAGGAACATAAGCAGAGCATTTACCCAATTTTTTGTTGGACCTTAGTGTTACTTGACAGACACCAACATAGCACAAAAATCTAGTTACATGACTATAAAAAAGTCTTTATCTAACAAAAAAGTCCTATCAACCATAGACTTCGCGTGGCCAAATTTAACCCCTTATTTGAATGATCCAAATATTATAGCTGAATAGCTACAATATCGCTGTGAATTAAAGCGCATGGAATTCAACTTCCCACAGCATAAAAGAGCATGATTTTCTGATTTTAATAATCAGAAAGTTTGCATTTTAATTACAGAATTAAAATCTTTTTAAAGTACTGGATACAAAGAAGCAACTCAGGACCTTGTATCTGACAGAGGAACACTCAGGCTGGAAGCATCCATAGACCTCTGTAAGCTAGGGCTGATCTGGCTGCATGCTGTTGAAACCTGATGAGCAGAAGGTGGAAGAGGTCCCAACTGTTGAACTGTCATGGGAATGCTGGTGACTACTGCATTGTTGTAGCTGCCTTTTCCAATGGACTTGTGCTCATGTCCGTAACCAAGACCTCCTAAAAATAAACACAGTAGGTTTTAGGACTCATCTCTCATGAACCCATGATGAAGCCACAGAACTCGCATCACTTTGCAAAGTCGGGAAAGTGATGAGAATCCTCAGATGAGGACAACTGGGAACCAAACAAGAATTTTGCAATCTTCTCCAAATACTAAAAGCAATATTTTACAAGGGAATTAATAAATTTTGCACATGTAAAATGTGCCAAAATACATAAACTAAAGACCAGGCATCACCGGGTAGTAGAGCAGCCCTCACCTGGGGGGCCAGGCCTGGTCTTAAGTACAGCTCTCTCTGAAGAAGGCAGGAACAGAGAACCCAAGGATGCTGATGGAAAACCACCATGTCCTGAAAACCCCACAGCTTTAGGCAGCCCTTCCATTATTCCTACACCAGCCATCCAAAAAGCAAAAGGACCATCGATATGCACACAAACTACAATGCTGACTGCGTAGTTTTACTGGCAGGAGAGGGTTACAGCTGGAATCCAGCTTCCCTCAGAGATCTAGGGAAAGGAATCTGAGCTGAATCAAAGAGAGACGCAAGCTGGACTTTCTTTGAAGGCCACAGATTACGCACAATGGATTTTCTTTGAAGGTCACAATCTGTTCTTAATCACTGCTGCCATGACTCAAACTGATACAGGGACATACCTACAAAATGCTCTGTGTACTTTATGTTCTGATGTAGGTCACGGATGGTCGTTTACAAGATTCTCTTCCTTAAAATGCATTGAGATGAGAAAGTTAAAATGTAGGTCATAATATGGAAGTTGTTGGATATCTACCAAATTCTCATCACAGCTAGAAATTAATAATTAGGCAATTCACATTTCTAGCTGCTTCCCTGTGTTCAGAATACTGCACAAAGCAGGATAGCAAAATCAGGACTAATAGTGGAAAGTACTTCAATGCAAACCATTCTTATAAATTAAATCTACTTTTGACATGGTTGCACAACTCATGCAAGTTTTTCTCCAGGTTGCTCAAATAAGTTGTGAACTGCAGAAAGAAGTTCATTAAGGCATTTATGACACTCACAGCACCTCAGAGATGAAGAGAGCAGGTAAGAGAATTTGTTATGTTAGGGTAAGGATGATGGCCAAAGATGGTCTGGTCACTAGTCACCGAAAGGAAAAAATGAGAAATGGAGTACTTTGGAGAGACTGTATTACTGGAATGATAGACAAAAGCAATGCAAGACTCTAGTCCTTATAAACACTTGCCTGGGCATTTCTCTAAGGCTGAAATGGAAGGAAAAGGTTTTTTCCTTTTACCACTGACAAACATTTGCTGTTATCAGGAAAAATACCAATTCTTCCACTTAAAAGTGCGTGGGGGAGATTATCATGAATGAATAAATAAATCATCAGCTCCCACCAGAGACTGCAAAGTAAAAGACTGATGCTTTGCAAAACACAGCCATAACATTTTATCTACTGCTTCATAAAAGCATAAATGTGTCAGAAGACCATCATTAATACCTCATCTGTGCCCTGCAGGTCACTAAACAGTATTAGTTTGATCTGAATCAGGCAGGAGCATACAATCCCACATATGCTGAGCTAAGTATGAGCACAAGATGGGAAGCTTACACTGACTTAATGCCAGCTACAAAAGTACAGACCACATCTGATCTTGCATAAAGTCAAAGGGGTGCAACATGGACATCTGACCTGACACCAGCCTGCTGCTAAAAGGCAAGCTGTCAGAAAGTGTGTTCAAAAGCGCTGGATAAATCTGAACTGTCAGAATGACTATATCCTCCATCAGCATTTGGAATCATATACCCACAGCGCCAGAGGAGCCCTCACAACAGGTCTCCTGTATCATTGACCCAAAAATTCCAGGACAGTGAAAGGACAACCATGAATTTCTTAATGCCCTGAGTCCACATCAGCTGATAAATGGGAAACTCTTGGGAGGACATCAGTGGGTTTTAAATGATGCTGTAGATTCTAAGAAAAATATGTGAAGCTAATATTTTAAATGAGCAAGAGAAGTAATTTTTTTCTTTTATACTAAGATATAAATCAGGAGGCAGTCCAACAAAGGCAACAATAACTGAGGAGATGGAATCAGTCCTGAGGTGGCTCACAGGAAGAGTTACAGCTGATTAGCAAGTCCTTTATTCCAAATAAATATATTACACATAAATCAAAGCTGTTCTTTATCAATAAATAACAGTAATAGCCAATAAGTATAAACAGGAAAAATATTTAATGGAAATATTTTAATCCACTCACCTCCTCATTCATTAGCTTGCCTTTTTTCCCTCTTTATTCTCTGTAGTTGGTTAATAGCTAAGCTTCACTCAACTTTGAAATGAAAAAATATTTCACTGCAATCTTCTGAAGACATTTGAAGAATTCACAAAAATACATCTACTTTAATTTAGAAACACAGAATTTTAGATGAGATTCTCTTAATTTATATAATTCTTATACTTTTTGGAGGAAGAGTCCATTACGAAATTAGTTCAATTTAAACACAATTTCTTTTATCAGATATTAATTGAAAACCAACCAATTCCTTTGTCTACTTCTCCATGTCAAGAGTAGTAACTTGTTAATTCTGACCAGTAGCTCCAGTTAAAAAATGAAACTGCTTCACCAAAGCTTTGAAATTATAATCTATGCTTCCCATTTATAAATCATAGTCAACAAAACCCAGTTTTAATTATTTGGTATTCTGAAACACACTACATACATAACAAATACATAACATCAGATCAAATTCAAACACCTCTTAGATTAATAAATTTTGCAGTTACTGAACTAATCAGTATGAAAGTTATTGAAGATACCTTAAAACTTGTCTTTTGTTATTGTTAGAGTAACAGCTAGGAATAAAATAATTGCAATAAAGGAGCAAAAGTTAATTTCCCTAGAGGATTGTCTGCGTTGATGTACCAGAAAATGTACACATTATAAGCTTTGGAAATGCTTGGTTTTAATGTTTCCTTTATTATTGTTTTCCAGTCTTGTTTGTGTGGACTCTATTCACCAAAATGTGGAGAAAAGGGCACACTAAAAAAGCATATTGTATGACAATAAATAATATACAAAGAGGACAGAGACCAAGCAGTAAGCAAGACTGTGTCAATGTATTCTTCACACAGATTAGCTGTAAGTCAGCAAGGCCTTTTCAAACCAAATTTGATCTTTTTTCACAACACAGTTAATCTTCTGGATGTTGCAATCGCCAGCTACCACACACATCTTTTCTGTGTGTCACTGTATCTGCAGGGTTATTGTCACCCTAGTTGGAGGGGTCTCGCAGTAGCTGCTGACTGAACAAACTCAAATAATTGCATAGAAGATTTGTTTCCTGATAGTAATATCCCAATCCCTCTCGCCGTGTGCCTGCCAAACTTTTCAGGCTTCCCCTGAATATTTTAGTTGTATTACTAATGACTGCCAGAGAGCTAGACTTGTCTCTTTGTCCTCACACTAAATGTCCACCTTTCTATTGTTTCTACAGTCATCTGAGAGGCAGATTGCACTACACCTATGTAGACAGAGACACTAGCCACAGGGCAGTGGATATCAGACCCCTTGAAACCCTCTTTAAGTGTGTTAAACTGGAGCTTCTAAGTAGAACAAATTAAAAAACAAAGACAGAATTGGGGGAATATTGTCATTTGCCTCTATGAGCACATGATCGACAAAATCTTTGCCTGTTTGGAAATCTGCGCTTTTTCAAATTGGTATCACACCCTGAGCCCAAATCCTTTTGGGAGACCTTGATATTTCTCGGTGAACTACACAAAAATTCAATCACAATTACACTAGGTATGAGCAGCTTTTTATGACATGCAATCTGGAATTTTTCAGGGTACACGTAAATTATTAAACTATGATTCAAAAAGTTGTTAAATTATCATTTTTATTACAAGTCTTATAAAATATTGTAGTTTCTCAACTCCGCTACACCACACAGACAGTACTTGTTAATGAAACAGTGATTCTCAGCATTTATTTTCTTTCAAAAATAAAACAAAATAAAAAATCAAGGATTTGTAGTTCGAGAGAAAATTCTGTAATAAGGATCCTAATGATTATGATAGTAGCTTATGGTTTTCTTAACACTTACAATTAGCAATGCCTTGCTAGTAACAAGTCCTCTAAATCCTCTGGCAGTATCCACTCTGAACACCAAGTTAGATAGACCATTAATCTGACTAGCATTGGCAATTCCCATGTTCTCTATTTGCAGAGATTTAATTTTTACAATCAGTAAAAATAATCTCAAGAAAATACACTAAACAGAACATTCTATGATAACATGTTATTATGAGAAAATACTATGTATGCACTTGAAGGTTCTCCATGCTTTGAATCTTGGAAAGGCAGTTTCTTCACTATCAGAGTGTACTTGATAAATTAGGTTGCACTAATTTCCAATGCTGTGTGCCATTCATTGTATGAAGTAATCAAGCATGTACTTTCAGCAACTCTACCGTGAGACAAAAGAAACTGACAAAGCACAATGAAAAACAATGTCTGCCTTCAACTGGAACCAAGGTAAAAAATTATCCAGAACTGACCAGTGAAAACAATACCTCACAGGTGATTAACTTTGCTGGTTTAGAGCAGACAGCAATGAGATCACCTACTTCAATGGCACACTTTAACCACTAAATTTAAACAAATGAAAACAGTGGTCTTGTAATAACTAAACTAAGAATATATTATGAAACAGTCAGGTTCAGGAAACTTCCAGGAGAAAACACATACACAGTAAAACAAAAATTTTCAATTAGATCTACAGACAACTATAATACCTCATACTAATTTTTAATCAGATTTATATCAGGAAGACCTCTCACTTAATAAAACACTATTTTGAAAGCTACTTTGTTTTCTTATTTTGCATAAGAGTAAGAAGTTATCAGTTAACTAGTGCACAGACAAGTTAATGTTTAACTGAACTAAAATATAAATGTTTTAGCTGCAATGGGTAACTCCCTATTTGTTATCAGTGACATTAGATG